CCCCCGCCCCCCAGCCAGCTCTGGAAGAACTCAGGACCTGTCATGTCACCACAGCAGCAGAGTTAAGTTTACACCAGATACAAGATTCATTTTATTTTCTCGTACTTCTGTATGTGGAACATTTTCAGTCTTACTTCTTACTTAGAATTTCACAGAATAGAAAGAAAAGGCATCAGAAAATAGGGAAGAAGATATAAATCTCTAGAGTGTAAAATCCTGGCAAAAATGGCAACTCAGGTTAACCACAGCAGAATCAAATGATCCTGTTTTTAATACTTTGAAAAAAGATTTACTTACCTTTTTGAATTAAAGTTTATCGGTTGAAATAGATGCTTTTTGGGGGGATAGTTTTTATCATAATCAAGTTTCTTTTGGTTTGGAGAGGACAGAACCCTCTTCAGAGTAGCTTTGGATAAAAACGAACTATATTTGGAAGGACACTGCTCTCTAGGAGACTCGGGGGAAAGTGAACCCTGGTCCCCAGAAAGGGAGAACCGTAGTGGGCTCTTGCTGGCTTGTGCTGTGTCACTGTTCCATCCCCCTCTTCAGATCAGCTCTCTCTGGGTCCACGGAGGTCGAGTGGGCAACCCAGGGCAGTTGTTTATGGAGGGGGGAGGGGGAGGGCTGGGTCACGTGGTATAAAATTGATGTTTGATGCTGCATCTTGGGGTGACAGTTTGCAGACAGGAGTAAATGGTTATTGGGCTGGAAGGAGGAGTGAAAAGGGTCTGTTATAGATTAACTTGATTAGAAATTAAGTCTGAATCTTTTTTACTTAAAGAATATTAAGCATAGTGAGTTATAACAATTTTGGTCAGATACAGTCTCTATGCTATAAAAATATACAGTTACTGTAGTGTTCTGGAAATAACATATCCTGTCATGTTCCAAACAATGCAAAGGAAGTACATAATTATGTAAAATTTTTATAATGGTTTTAATTTTTTTATAATACTTACCTAAAAATATTTTATATTATAACTTCAAGTTCAAAAACAAGTAATTCTGTTATGTTTTGTTTATAGGTCATGCCTTGACTGCATTGGTAAAAATGCTATAATTTTAGAAAGTCAGATATCTCTATTACCTCCTAAACTTCTCCAACAAGTACTCAAAAAAATAACATTTTGGACTGCAGCTAATCACCGAGAAGAACAAAGAGCTCAAAAAGAAGAAAAAGAAAAGAAATGTCAGTGGATCAGTAGCGATTAAGTTGTAATGTACTCTGTATATTTAATATGTTTAAACATTTTAATCAGACTGTATGTTTACCCCCTAAATTGGAGGCTTTATTCAGAAGATAAAATTTGAAACAAAAAGTCTATGTTAAAGTGATTATATGGCATGAGATATATAGGAAGAAGATGTTAATGGCAGATTAATTTATATTTATATTTGTAAATTAATTTCCTTATCAGCTGCAGAAAAAAAATATAGTTTCTGAAAGTCAGTACAACTGTATGGGACTTTAACTCACTGTGTCCTCTTTACTGGAAAGATTATACAGACTTGTAGAGAATAAGAAATTACTCCCAAGGACTTTAGGAATCCCCCAACACAATGATAGAGATATATATGCAAACATTTCATATCAACTTTCAGAAAGAATAGATTTTTCTTGTCACTTTACAATTACTTAAACCTTTCCATTAAATAACTCAGTTGTTTAAATAACTTCTCCTTAAATTACTAATATAGTTGGCCAAAATGATAAAATAGGGAAACACTGCTATGGTATTAGATTTTGAACTTCTGCCCTTTTAGCACTTACCTAGTAAAGTATTCTTAAGCATCATTGCAACTTTTCCTCACATGTATTTGAGTTGGGGAATAAATGTCTTCAGTTGTCTTTCTGTTACCCCTAAGTTACTAGTTTGTCCAGTTTTATAGGTACATAAAGACCATGTTTTAAAATGTCTAAAGTGGAGATTTATTTATTCACACTGGCTTTGAAATATTGAGAGGCAATATGTTTATTAAATTTTGAGACACATTAAAATACATTTTGCCTTGGAGGAGTGCTCTAAAGTAATTTTCATAAATTATGAAATGGGATGATCACCTAGTAATTTGCATTTCTAGAAACCCTCTGTTTGGCCCACACCATCCTGCAGAGTTGGTGCAGAAGACCCAGGATATTCAAAATATGTTATCTTCTCATTTGTTTTCAGTTTTCACTGCCTAGAAGGAATGGAACACAAGTATTTATTTAATTTTCCTTGAAATAGTACTTTTGCCATAATTAAGAAATTGTTCATTTATCATAGTCATACCCTTCCACTGAATTACTTATAACAATGAATTACTAAAAAGCTTGGTATATAAAATTACTCTCTACAATCCACCATGCAAGTTGTCTCTGAAATTTAAAATGTTATAGTAAATATATTTCTATATTGAAATAGATGTGTAATTTATAATGAAAATTACAGTAGTTTGTAGTACCATTAAATTTTAGAGATATATTTTATATATCTGTTCTGTATTTTGGATGTGTAAATCTTCTATTTATGTATTGAAATATCTTGTGTTTACATTTTATTTATTATACAAACTACATAGAATTACTATTTTCCTAGTTTTGTTAGTGTGAACCAGTCATTAGACTTGATTGTGTAAACAATATTTCAGTGTAAGTTTTAATTTTTTTCTTACTATTTTTAGGCTGAATAACAGATTTAGAAAGTGAATCTCACAGGTAATATACATCTTAAAAGTAATTATTTTGTTACTATGAACATCTGTATCAGCATTCTGTATTTAAGGGGAAAAAAAATCACAGCCTATTCGTGATAGATGACTTTGAATGGAATGAAACATTTTTTTTTCTGGGGTTTAATTCTTTTTTTTTTTTTTAATTGAGTTGTAGTCAGTTTACAATGTTGTGTCAGTTTCTGGTGTACAGCACAATTTTTCAGTCATACATGAACATACATGTATTAATTTTCATATTCTTTTTCACCGTGAGCTACTAGAAGATCTTGAATATATTTCCCTGTGCTATACCATGGAATGAAACTTTAAAATGGCTTCTGGATTATGTGAATGCCTCCTCTAGCCTCTTTGAAAAGCATTTCTGTTTTTAAATGGTTTACTTAGAAGTTGAATTAGCCCCCTCAAAATGCACACTTTCATTTAGGCTTCAAGAGAATGAAAAGCTATACATTATTTATGGCACATAAAACTGGTGCTGTTCTTATTTGTCTTAATATATTGTGCTACTTCAACAAGTTGTATGTCCTGAGATATCCCCATAATACGAGTGGCAGGGAATTCTGATCTGATGTTCAGTTTCTAAAACTTGGCTTAAACCAGCGCTTCCCTGCTCTTAGAAGATGTAGAAACTCTATGAGCTGGCAAAGCCAGTTTTGAAGATCCCAGTGAAGCAGTATTCCTTCCTGATTTCTTACCACTGATGGTTTACTATCAACTTTTGTGCTGCTGACCTGTGCCGTGTATGGGAGCCCAAGGCAACAACAGACTCATAACTGTATCTCTGAACTCTCCTTTACTGGTTCTCTATTTGAAAGATGACTCTAGAGGGTTGACTCTTCTTTTTCCAGGTGGTTCACAAAATAGGTTTCCAGTCTGGTTTTCAAGGAAAAAGAATTTCTGGCCATCTTTATTATGTCTATCAGGATATCCTTCCAATTGTCAGCAAGGATTTTTCTGAGGTATTACCATTTTTCGAATGATAATAGTAAATAGCGTATCAAAGTTAGTGTCCATTTTTTCCAAATAGTATCTTTGCATAAACACCTTTAAAAAATTATTATTCTTTTGATAGAAACTTTAAAATATTCTTTAGCACTTCATACTGTCGGCCCAGGAACAAAGCGATGTTTTCACCAAAACACATTTATATGTATGTATGTGTGAGAAAGAAATAATTATAAACTCACTAAAATAGAACAATTTTCAAGGAAGTATATACTGTCTGACAAATTAAAATTGTGATTGCAGAACATTTCAAAGGAAAAGAAGTAGTTTTAAGAAACAAATAATACCCCTGCCTACCTTTTTTTTTTGGTGCCTGTTTTCCCATTGTATTAATGTGATTCTATTGGAATTTCCGGTTTGATGAAATTTCCATACAGTCCAGCATGTGGGTACAGCAAGAACTTTTATTTTTTGGTATAATGGACTGAATGTTTATATTCCCACAGAATTCGTGTGTTGAAACCCTAATCTCCAATGTGATGGTCTTTGGAGGTGAGGTATTTTGAGAGGTAATTAGATTTAGATGAGGTCATGAGGGTGGGGACCCAATGATGGGATTAATGTCCTTATAGGAAGAGGAAGAGTCCAGATTGCTCGCTCGCTCGCTCGCTCTCTCTCTCTCTCTCTCTCTCTCTCTCTCACACTCTCTCACTCTTGCTCTCCCCAACTCATGAAGATGCAGTGAGAAGGCATCTGCAAGGCAGGAAGAGGGCCCTCACTAAGAACCAAATCTGTCAGCACATGATCTTGGACTTCCCAGCCTCCAGAACTGTGAGAAATAAATATCTGTTGTTTAAGCCGTTCAGTTTATGGTATTTTGATATAGCGGCCTAAGCTAAGACACACCTGAAATCCACAGTTTACATTAGGGTTCATTTTTGGTGGTGTACTTTTTATGGGCTTAGACAAATGTATACTAACCTGTGTCCACCTTTATACAAAATAGTTTCACTTCCCTAAAAATCCCATGTGTCCTGCCCCGTCATTCCTCCTTCCCCTCTAAACCATGGCAACCATGGATATTTTATTGTCTCTATAGTTTTGCCTTTTCCACAGTGTTATATAGTTGGAATTATATAGCGTGTGCCCTTTTCAGATTGGCTTATTTCATTAGTAATATGCGTTTGTTTCCTCCATGTTTTTTCATGGCTTGAAAAGATGGCTCATTTCTTTTCAGCACTGAATAATACTCCATCGTCTGGATGTATCACAGCCATTTTTTACAATTTTCTACATAGATAATCATGAACAAAGGTGGTTTTGTTTGTTTCTTCCCAACTTTAATTTCCTCCTCTTGTCTTAATGTATTAGCTAGGACATCCAGTAGTATGTTGAAAAGTAGTAGTGAGAGAGGGACATCCTTCCCTTGCTCCTGATCTTAGTAAGGAAGACTCTAGTTTCTCATCATTAAGGACAATAGTGACTGTAGGTTTTTTGTAGATGTTCCTTATCAAATTAAGGATGTTCCTCTCTATTCTTGTTTGCTGAGTTTTTTTTTTAAATCATGAATAGGTGTCAGATGTTGTTAAATGCTTTTTCTGCATCTATTAATATGTTCATGTGATTTTTTTTTCTTTTTTAGCTTGTCGATATGATGGATTACATAGGTTGATTTTTGAATGTTGACCAACCTTGCATACCTGGGATAAGTCCCACTTGGTCACAGTGTATAATTCTTTTTAAATTTTTTTGTATTTGATTTGCTAATAATTTGTTGAGCATCTTTGCATTTATGTTCATGAGAGATACTGGTCTGTTGTTTTCTTGTGATGTCTTTGGTTTTGGTATTTGGGTAATGTTGGCCTCAAAATGAGTTAGGAGGTATTCTCTCTGCTTCTGTCTTCTAAAAGAGATTGTAGAAAATTGGTATAATTTATTCCTTAAATGTTAGAATTTACCAGTGGCCCCATCTGCGCCTGCTGCTTTCTGTTCTGGAAGGTTATTATTGATTCGATTTCTTTAGTAGATATAGGCCTATTCAGATTATCTATTTCTTGTTATATGAGATTTGGCAGATTGTGTCTTTCAGTGACTTGGTACATTTCACCTAACTTATCAGATATGTGGGCATAGAATTGTTCATAATATTTATTATCCTTTTAATGTCCATGGGATCTGTAGTGATGTTCCCTGTTTCATTTCTACTAGTAATTTGTGTCTTTTTTTCTTAGCCTGAATAAAGGCTTATTGATTTCATTATCTATTCAAAAAATCAGCTTTTGGTTTTATTGCTTTTTCTCTATTGATTTTCAGTTTCATTGGTTTCCATTTCTTTTCATCATTTCGTTATTGCTTTTATTCTGCTTATTTTGGATTTAATTCACTCCCCTTTTTCTAGTTTCCCAAGATGGAAACTTAGATGATTGATTTTAGATCTTCTTTTTTAATATATGCACTCAATGCTATACATTTCTAAGTACTGCTTTTACCTACATCACGAATTTTGATAATCTGTAAACACACAAGCAGTGGCTAGGGAAGGAATTTCAGGTTCTGAAAATTTTAGTTTGGAAAGCGTTTTGTCGTTGTTCAAAGTACTCCTACATAGTGTTCCCAGCGAAAAGGTGGGGAAGGGAGAGGGTAAAGCACAGGCATCTCCACAAACACATCCAAGTATAGAAGCACCATTAGATTAGGGAATTCAGATGTAGTCTAGTCTAACCTTATTTTACAGGTGAGGAATCACGTTTAGATTACATACAATAACTCTCAAATTCCTCCTGACCTAATTTAATTAAATGCATTATATAAAAATGTAAGAAAAAAGTGTGTGTTTGTGAATAGGATTCACTCTCCTCCCTGAAGGCCTGGGGTGGTGACGGTTTCTGAAACAGTTTGGGAGCACTAAGAAGATGCAGCACTAAATTAAGATTTCTGCTGGACCACAGGGGCCTGTGGAGAGGGAGATGCCTTGAACCGGTCCGCGGACACAGGGCGGGACGCAGTCTGGCACCTGCCGTGCACACCCGCAGGGATCGCCTCAGGGAAGCTGCGGAGTGGTCGCGGCTGGACCAGGGGGGAGGTGAGAGGCTCCACCTCCAACCCCGACCCCGACCCCGACCCGGTGTCCTCGGGAAGACAGGGCACTACTCGGAAACCCCGAGACCAGAAACTTACTAGGTGAGCAATTTCACTGCCTCCTTCCAGGCCGTTTGAGAACATTCCTCAATCGAACAAGGCCTTCTCGGGAAGAAGTCTTTTTTTTTTGCGAGAATCT